TTCTTTTGATATATGACACATCTTGATCAAGCAGGTTAGGGTATGTAACAGTCCCACCAACACCCATATCAACATTCGCAATCAAAATTAGCATAAGTTTTGGGAAACATTCCAGGAGAAGTGAAAAACATTTGAGAATCATTCTTTCTTTTTTGCCCATTTTAGTTTGTTTTCCTCACCTTGCCTCCACTTCGAGCTTGAGTAGAAGCAGCTTTGCTTTAAGCACGGACTCATCTCTCAACTTTGATTCACTTCATCTTTTTTCACCTTCTCTTATGATGAAGTTTTTCTTTTGCAGAAAGCTTTCCAGGTTGCATCTTGTCGAAAGGGCTTCTCTTGCTTCCCCTTGAAGCTGCCGTGATGACTGTGCCAGAAGAGGCATCTGAAGCCATGGAATCATCGCTGTATCATTGGCATCATCATTTTCATAGCAAAGTTTGTCTTGTAGTTGTGTCCTTCATGGTAATAAGAGTGATCATGTTCATCATCATCATGTTGACAAACTTAAATGGTAAGTTGGTACCAATTATAATTTTATTAAAATTCCTTATATTGTAATTTTTAGGTAATAATAATAATTTTACTACTTTTAAGCTTTTCTTTGTGTGTTATATATGTAATATGAATATGGCAAGTGGACTCTATAGACATTCTATTTTCTAGAGGTATTACATGTTAAAATAACAAAGTTATAGAGACAATGAAGAAAATAAACAAACTTATGATGGTAGAAAATTTAAATAAGTAAAAGTAAAGGGGCAAAAAGTTAAACAATAGTAGTTGATAGTTGTGTCATGCGTCATGATGTGCGTCCTATTAATTTCACCGTTTGGTCCCTGTGTAACCAACAAGCAACTACCCACCCAAACACACATACGCACAGATAGCCAAACCAAACGCTAAAACTCGAGTTCGATCAAATTCTTTGCAATCTTTGGAAACACAGATCTTTAAACTTTCTGGGTCCTATTTATTGTCAAGCACTTCACGGTTTTGCAATTTTTTCAGGTTTGTTCTTCCATCTTTCAATTTGTTATCAATGTATCTTCTTAGTTAATTTTGCGTTACTCGTTCAAGCTTTCTGTGAATTACTGATCTGGGTTGGTTTATTTAACGGTTGCTGATGTGTTGATCTTGCTATGTCATTTCATTGGATTTTGTTTGTTGTGCTTTTGAACGATGAAAAGGTTATGATTTTGTCTTGTTTTGAAAAACAATGAATCACTTGTTCTTATCAGTATTCTATCTTTGATAATAGTTCAATTAGATGTGTTGCTTTATTTGATTTTTATCTTGCATCGGAGTTTTCTCTGAGCCGCTTATGCATTTGGGTGGTTGATTTACACCTGGGGTATAACCATCTCCTGGGACCTCAAAGTTGGTTTCTCTGTCTTTCTCGTTATGGTGAGTTTTGTGTGAATTACAGTTTTATTGCATTTGGAATATAATGATACTATATTTTTTTTAAATATCTTAAGTGAAATAGAGTGTAATAATTCAAGTAAACAATAAAGCAATTTAAGTAGAAAAAATGTACAAGTGAGAGACGATAGATGTACTAAGAGAGTAAAGAGAATGCTGACAATAACGAAAATAAAGACTTGAAGAACAAAGCAAATGAGTAGTTCAGTGGTTAAGACAAAAGAAAAACTTACAGAAATATTTCATAATAGAAGTTAAACTAATTTTGTTTATGAAAAATGGTTCTTCCTACTCAGAACTTGGCATGATGAGCTGGGAAGAATTAAAAATTCAAGAAGAGGACAACACGAATTAAAAAAGGATATTAGCAATTTTTTTTTTTTGTGGGTATTGCCTCTCGTTTTCCCAATCTGACTCTGTCTATGACTATAGGATCTCTGCAGCTTACAGCAACAAAACACTGTAATAAAATGCTCTCATGAAATAGACTGTTCAAGTTTCTCCCCATTAATCTTGAGCTTAAACAGCTGTTTTCCCTTTTAGGGTATGCTGTTGTTGCTTTTAGCTCATTATTTTGCATTGGTTCTTAAGGAATTATTATGTCGGAGTTAAAATATTTTTCATGGGAATTGAGAACTGGATCATTTTTTTTCTTCTTATTCATGTTTGTTAGAAGATTCAACTGTCTTTTTTAAGCATGATTGCACGGTGTTAATCTATTTTTCAATTTTATTATTGAAATATAATGTCTTTGTCACTAGATCTGGCAGATACAGTCAATAGTTACGTGTTTTTTAACCTCTAATAATTAGTTATTTCAAGGTCTAATTGTGCAGTAGGTTGCTTTCATTTGCGCTTGACTTTTGATGATGCTATTAGTTTACAGTTAAGATTCTAGAGATGTTCTCTTAAAATTTCTTCGAGCTATTTTCTATTCTTCTTGAATATTTGTTTGTTTGTTTGTTGTTGTTGTCATTGTCATTGTTTAATTTAAATTATATCTTAAAAACCTTATGCCATTAGAGGTGTTCTGTTGTCCAATCCTGTACAATGACACTCAAATTCCTCGTGCAGGAATTAGAAATGGTAGCACCAACAAGAATTGGCCTTGCCGGCCTTGCTGTCATGGGCCAAAATCTTGCTCTCAACATTGCTGAGAAAGGATTCCCTATTTCTGTTTACAATAGGACTACATCAAAAGTTGATGAGACGGTTGAACGAGCCAAACAAGAAGGGAACCTTCCCTTGTATGGCTTCCATGATCCTGAATCCTTTGTTAATTCAATCCAAAAACCTCGTGTTATCATTATGCTTGTTAAGGCTGGTGCTCCAGTTGATCAAACCATTAAAACACTATCAGTTTACATGGAGAAAGGAGATTGTATCATTGATGGTGGTAATGAGTGGTATGAGAACACTGAAAGGAGAGAGAAAGCCATGGCTGAATTGGGTCTGCTTTATCTTGGAATGGGAGTTTCAGGTGGTGAAGAGGGTGCTCGGAACGGGCCTTCTTTGATGCCTGGAGGTTCCTTTGAGGCCTACAAGCACATAGAAGATATTCTTATTAAGGTGGCTGCTCAAGTTCCTGATAGCGGTCCTTGTGTGACTTATATTGGCAAAGGAGGGTCTGGAAATTTTGTTAAGATGATACACAATGGTATTGAATAAGGTGATATGCAGTTGATTGCAGAGGCTTATGATGTGCTGAAGTCAGTTGGGAAGCTCTCAAATGAGGAGTTAAGACAGGTTTTCTCAGAGTGGAACAAGGGGGAGCTACTGAGCTTCTTGATTGAGATCACTGCAGATATTTTTGGAATTAAGGATGACAAGGGAGAAGGTTATTTGGTAGACAAGGTCTTGGATAAAACTGGCATGAAGGGTACAGGGAAATGGACGGTTCAGCAAGCTGCTGACTTGTCAATTGCTGCTCCCACTATAGCATCATCCTTGGATTCAAGATTCCTCAGTGGTTTAAAGGAGGAAAGAGTAGAAGCTGCCAAAGTCTTCAAGTCTAGAGGCTTGGGCGACTTCGTAGTTGAGCGAGAAGTGGATAAGAAAAAGTTAATTGATGATGTGAGGCAAGCATTGTATGCATCCAAAATATGCAGCTATGCACAGGGAATGAATTTGATACGTGCAAAGAGCAACGAAAAAGGGTGGAACTTGAAACTTGGGGAGCTGGCTAGGATTTGGAAGGGGGGTTGCATTATTCGTGCTGTATTCTTGGACAGAATCAAGAAGGCCTATGACAGAAACCAAGATCTAGCTAATCTTCTTGTGGATCCAGAGTTTGCGAAGGAAATTATAGAGCGACAATCTGCTTGGCGAAGAGTTGTCTGCCTTGCTATCAACTCAGGTATTAGCACTCCTGGTATGTCTTCTAGCCTTGCTTATTTTGACACATACAGGAGGGACAGGCTGCCTGCTAATTTAGTCCAAGCTCAAAGAGATTACTTTGGAGCTCATACCTATGAAAGGACTGACATACCAGGATCCTTCCATACTGAATGGTTCAAGATAGCTAAACAATCGAAGATCTGATCTGAATTTTCCTGTTGGTGCTAGCCCGCTTTAATGAACCGTTGTTGTTAAACCGAATAATGTTACTTTTTGTGACTTGAAGTATATCATTTTTGTTATCTTCTGGAGATATTCAGCATAATAATTTTATTTTAATTTGGTTTCTCTTCCATCTTTAATTTATATCAAATGCATAACGATATTATGTTCAATTAATTCGTCATATTTCTTGTTTCTTTTAGCTTCTGAATTTTTTTGCAATTAATACACTTGTGATGTCGAGCATATTGGGTGAAACTTGACTGGTGCATTTTTAATCAGTGCATCTACCCTTCACTAGGTGAATGAATGATGTGATTTTGATTAACATTAGTCACAAAATTGTTTGATTGTTATGGGGAACTGTGGAACTAAGGATGGATGCCTGTGATGTTGATATGTAAATGTGAAGAAACCAATGAGATCATTTTGGTATAGCTATAGCCTTAACATGGAGTGCAGGAGAAGATAAATATGCACCTGGAGGCTTGAGATATTGTCGGGATTAGGCATGGAGTTTTGTATGATATTGCGGTCCGGTGCTTTATTCAAAGTTTCGATCAGTCAAAAAATTTCTGGGACTTAAATTTGGGTTTTTTTAATATGTTTTTTTAAGCAAACTCCTAGATACTACAGAGGTATTTGATGTCTTATTAGAAGTTAATAATAAAAAAAAAAAAAAAAGAATAATGAAAGGTATAGTGTAGTATCGAAGGTTTAAATGTAAACACAAAGAATCATCCAGACCACGAAATCTGTAATTGAGAAGAAGATCCAGGAATTCAGAAGAGGCAACTCTGGGCTGTCCAACTAAGGCTGGTGCTCGTTTCACACCATTTAAGTTAAAAAAAAAAAACAAAAACAAAAAATGCAGCCCCAAGTGCAATAATAATGCTACTGTCCTCAATAAAATTTGCCATGAAACTTCCGAGGAGAAGTAAAATTTTTCATTTGACACATACAAATTAGTTACATAAAAAATATAAGCAGAAGTGGGTATTGCACTTGCTCTTGCAGAATTATTGAATGAAAATATGTCCATTCATTTATGTTCCATAGAATAGAATCAACACATACAATACATTAGTTCTTTTTGATATATGACACATCTTGATCAAGCAGGTTATGGACATTGTAAAAGTCCCACCAACACCCATATTCAACATTCGCAATCAAAATATTAGCATAAAGTTTTGGGAAACGTTCCAGGAGAAGTGAAAAACATTTGAGAAATCATTCTTTCTTTTTTGGCCCATTTTTAGTTTGTTTTCCTCACCTTGCCTCCACTTCGAGCTTGAGTAGAAGCAGCTTTTGCTTTAAGCACGGACTCATCTCTCTCAACTTTGATTCTACTTTCATCTTTTTTCACCTTCTCTTTATGATGAAGTTTTTCTTTTGCAGAAAGCTTTCCAGGTGCATGCTTGTCGAAAGGGCTTCTCTTGCTTCCCCATGAAAGCTCGTGATGACTTGGGCCAGAAGAGGCATCTGAAGCCATGGAATCATCGCTGTTATCATTGGCATCATCATTTTCATAGCAAAGTTTGTCTTTGTAGTTGTGTCCTTCATAGTAATAAGAGTGATCATGTTCATCATCATCATCCCGATCGGTTTCATGGACTGGAGAGCCAATATACATTGTCCACCCTGACACACTGCTGCTATGTTCTTCTTTACAGCCAACGATTTTGGAAGGCTCCATCAAAGTAAGTACCTATAGATTATCTGGATAGAAATGAAACTTGATGAATATTGTTTCCACTACAACCTGGAAAATGTGTAATTTTCATTACCTGGGGTTTGGAGTTGGACTTGTATCATTGTCTCTCTGAGTCTTGGCCCTTAATCAACCACATGCAGCATTCCACACACCGGACAAAGAACACATCTATCGCAAAACACTCGTACAACCCAGCCTCATTATTGTTTTGGCAGAGTAAAACTTAGCACCTCGAAATTATATCTCCTGCGTTTTTGTTTTTTGTTTTTAAGCACTAGAAGACAAGGTTTTGGAGATTAAAAAGGCAAACCCATGTCATAAATATGGATAAAATTTGAGTCTAAGAACTGAGGATGAAACTCATTTTGGTCGTTTTGACCTTTTACCTTTACTTGTTTGTTTCTCTTATAAATAAAGAGCAGCTTTTAAGGTGGAAAATCAGAAGAGCCCCACTCAACAAACAAGATGAAATACAACACCTACTTTCCTAGATGGGCTAGAAATGCCTCTTCACTATGCTCTTTAATTTTCATAGTCAATTCTGTGTATAGATATCAAGAAAAAGCAGCCTTTTCCAGTACAAGTTGATAGTAACCCAACTGGGATTTGGCATTTTGCACCAGGATTAATTTAATGGAAGGAGTTTGGTGAAAGGTCATTTTACTTCTGCTCTCACACTCCCTCTATAAAGCTGGCTTGTATTTTTTGTTTCAGTTGGGGAAGATCATATCTTTAACAATAACTTTCTCAGTTGGTATTATTAGTTGCAGAAAAATCAAACATTAACAGTTACATTTTTGGACATCTGTTATTATAAACTCACCTAATTCATGATTGGATGTGTGAGTCGAAGAGATCAAGAACATTTGGTAGGCATAGGCTCTCCTTGTGGTTGCCCACTTCTTTTTCTTCTGACTTATTATCTGTTTAGGTTAATCAAGTGATTTCCTTTTAGAGAGTGTATCTGGACTCACTTTGTCTTGGTTAAGGGCTCCATCTACATATATTTATATTATGAAAACTCTTTAACAAATGGACAGACTTTTTTTTCATCATTTTCTTGTTTTTTAATCACTTTTAAAGTTGTTTACCAACCCATATGAGACAACACTAAACTGCTCAGCGATGTTTCCTTCTGTTGTTATCTGATTATAGCATGTGCAAAATTTAAATATGAACAGCTTCTAATTGCCATAACATTTAGAACAAATTTGCTCTTATTTTTGGACCCCAGGAAACAGGCTGCAAAGACTTTCCCAATCAAAATTTGCGGATAATCCCTATTAAATCAAATTAATTATGTCATGTTTAAGATAATTAACTTGTCTTTTGACATAAAGTTAAGCAATTCTAAACATAATCACATGATATGTTTGGAGTTGAGATAAAATGACAAGTGGTGGCAGAAACGTTTGATAAAAATTTATTTCCTGATGTGATTCATCTTATATAAAAATTGCAAGTACTGGCCACGATATATCATTTCACTGGAAAATAATAAAAACCTTCAGCTTCTGTTTGATTGATAGATTTTGACATTGGCATTAATTATTTTGTTGGTTGCTTAAAATTGAAATGCACATGAAAACCAAAAAGGATGGCGTGGTGGGTCTGAAAGCATATATTTTATTATTTTCAAGAACTACGTGTATGGTGGTCATAGTTCCATCACTGTCACTTGAATTATATATCCAAAAATATCCTGGAAATTAATAATCTGCAACCTCTTTGATGTTGGCTATATTAAGAGGCCAACCCTGTTATAAACTAGTTTTTAATCTTTACTTTCTTTTACAGCTGAATACTATAATGGAATGTTAGAGAGTATTAAATTAAGTGTAATGCATCGTCACTTTCGGATGTGGCCTTTGTTGTATTTTATATGTCTTATAAGAATTGTTTCAGCAGCAAAAGAGGTGCTTTCAACTTGTACTATAACAGTATTTGTTTATTAATCTGGATAAGTTATGGTGTTGATACTGAGATTTTGATGCACTTGCAGCCACCAAAACCTCATATCTGCTCCTCTTTGCTTACAGTAGACCAAAATCCAAAAATCTTATTTCTTCTTCAGCTACATTGTTCAGGTTTTGGTGTTTTCCTAAACTTCAATTTACTCCGATTAATTTGTTAAACCACTACTTACTGCAACACTGTTTTATTATTATTTTGACCAAGAAAACTGGATATGCATATAAGGATTGATTAGATGAACGGACCTTTTTTTCTCATATTTATGGATCTGCCTATGGTATCAGCCCTGGATTGCTGATAACCTTTAATGAACTTCCAAGTGATTCAACAGTCAAACAGGTTTACTGGGATTTCAAGTAGATCAAATTCAGCTATATCCATATGATTAGAGAAACGATAAGATTTTTATAATGTACATAAACAAAAAGATTGCTAGTCTGCAGCAGGAACAAGAGACCAATCAATGAAATCTCGTAATGCTTTAGGTACAAAGTGTGACATGCAAGAGCCTGGAGGCCTCGTTGTGCTTTGGCCGAACTGCTAGTTGCTGTTCGGTGGTCTAATGGTAAAAGCAAGTCCGGCCCAAGGGATAGAGCTCCCAAATAAATAGGGTCAAGAAAGGGCCTAAAATTTTTATAATTACAAAATAAAAATAATGTATAATTTCTTTTCCAGATCGGTCCACTGGCCCCTAAAAAAAGCCTAACATACCAAAATTTATTATAAACAAAAAAGTTATTTCTTTGGTAATATATGAGATTGAAAATTTTAAATTTCTATTAGGCATGATTATTTAGTATGAAATGCTATTTTTTATTAATATGGTTAATAAATATTTATAGTCTAAAAATATGAACATTATTGTTGCAATAGATCAGTTGAAAGGTTTTGTTTCATTTTTTGAAAAAGTTAGAGAAAATAGGTTTACATCTTCTATGATTTCTGTTAAAGAGATTGCAAGACAAATGAATATAAAACTAAAATTTCGTGAAAAACGTATAATAAAGAGAAAAAAAACAATTTGATGAGAATGAAAACGGAAAGATGAAATTGTCGGCTGAAGAATCTTTTAGAATAAATTATTTCACATATTTAATTGATCATGTCATTTCCTCACTTCAAAGTAGGTTTGAACAATTTGAAATATATAATGATAATTTTGGTTTCCTTTATAATATAAAAAAGTTAAATTGTTTGATGATGATAATTTGAAGAAAAATTGTTTAAATCTTGAAAACTTTTTAAAACATGACATGTTCTATGATATTGATAGTTTATATTTTTATTCAAAATTAAAAGTTTTAAAAGAAATTATAAACATGGAAATTAAAACATCACCTAAAATACTAGATTTTATAAAAAAAAATGTGAATTCTTTTCCAATTGCATGTATAGCTTATAAAATTATATTAACTATTCATGTTATTGTAGCTTCAGTAGAAAGAAGTTTTTCAAAATTAAAGTTAATAAATCTTATTTGTGTTCAACAATGTCACAGGGAATTTGACTATATCATCAATTGAAAAAGATTTGGTTTCTAAACTTGAATACAAAAATTTAATTAGTGATTTTGAATCTCAAAAGGCAAGAATAATAAATTTGAAATAATTTTTTTAATATATGTTTATATTATTAGGATGCCCCAAAGTAACTCTTGCCTAAAGTCATAAATGTTTTTGAGACAGTGTTGGATAAAAGAGCAAAAAGAAGTTTCATAAGCTCTTGAATTCGGGCCCCCACAAGCGCTAATAGAGATGGCCATTGAGAGGTTTACCTGGTTGTCAATTGCAAGATCCAGAAGAATTAGTTGAGATGCGTGTAAATTGACCTGGATACCCACGATAAAAAAAAAAAAAAAAANTTAAAAAAATAATAATAAAAATATTATTATATTAATATTAAAAAAAGAGGACAACTTAGTAATCTATATAACATACTCACCTATTTATCCTCCCAACCAAATATATTATTCACTAATTTATTGGAATCAATCAAGCACTTTTTCTAAATATTCTTAATAATCTTTAAGGTGATATTTCTTTCTGTTAATATAATATACCCCTATAATAAAATATTATTTGATCCAAACGTCCCAAAGGGTTTGAGAAAAACCCCTTTCAGTTTGAATGACGGGTGGAGGATTAAAGATCCAATTGTATTTAATCATCGTGAATATTTTAGAAGGTAAGAAGATTATAAGGTTAAGGAATAGAAAATAAAAGACGAGTTTAATGCAGTTACATAGAATAATAAGTGTTACACAGTCTAAATAATATGATAATACTACACTGATCATATCAATCATACTATAGTATAAGATGGGTTTAAAATTTAATGCTACCCTTTCAATTAAATTGATTCATATTATTAAGTTAAATAATTATTTAAACCATAATGGAAGGATGGGTTTAATGCTACCCAATGTAATTAATGCTTTATATTGACCCGAGGAAAACATTGATCATGAAAAATTGTCTAATTACTGACAATAAAATTGAAAAAATAACAAAGGAAATAGAAGTCACGTGCAGTAGCAGACAGTAGCATATGGTCTGATGGTCATACTCATGGGTTCATGGCTTTCCAGGTGGCAATAAAAAAGTAAATGAATAGGAATGCGAATATCCAAGCAAGATGTTAACGGGCGTTGGGAAGTTAACGGATACACAAATTACGACGTCATGTCACTGTCAAAATGAACTGCGCAATGGGCAATACTGCAACTCTCTCTTGTCTCTCATCACTTCTCCTGCAAAAAGGTACCACCACACAACACTTCCAGATTCCGACATAACACTTTTATTTGGGATTATTACATAAAACCTTAAATCTTATTTTCAATATAAATTAAATTAAATAGCTTCTCAAATTCATTTAATAAAATTAAGTGAATATATATTAAATTCATAAGTTTGACATTATTATTTTTGGTTTATTATCAGCTGTATAATAAGTTTTGGATTTATTTTTTTCGTCCCAAAAAAGTTAACTAAGTCTCAAACATCCCAACAATTAGCATTGAAAAGCATTAAATATTTTCTTGAAGTTAAAAAAGGTCAAAAAGCATTCTAAACACATTAAAAGAAAAACATATAATCACCTTTTTTTAATTCTTTCAAAAAATAATTGGGATGCTTGAAACTCATTTATGTCTGGAGAGCACATAAATGCGCTACACCAATAACTGAAAGAAAGAAATATTATAAAAATAAAAACCCAACATTGTCAGTAGATTTTATTTGTCAATATTATTTCAAAATTTTACGTCCTTAATTTAAAAAAAAAAGCTTAACAATAAAGAATTTTTGAGTTTTCAAATATATTTTATTTTATTTTTTATATTTTTTGGTAAGCTTCTAAAGGAAGTAGTATTATTATTATTATTTTAAAAAAGAATAAAATTACGCACACTAATGTGTACTAATCTAAGTATTAATATGAAAAATTTGAAATTTCCTGTAAAAAATTTTAAATTTTGAATATTAACACTTAAATTAATACAAATTGATTAATATACATTGATTATTTTTTTTACAAATTAAAATTGATGAGTTTAGACAATGTAATGACTCATCTAGTCATCTTTAAGTGGCTTTTACCTTACATGGCTTTTACTTCTGTCTCTCTGAGCAACTAAAGTGTGAGTGAGTTAGTAAACTGTGTGTCCTTTTTTGATAAGATTCTTGAACTCACCGCTTACTCCACCATCTCACCGTCCTTAACTTCTTCATTATCTCATTATTTCTTCCTTTTTCCCCTTTACATTTTCATTATTATTAAATTATTCATTTTGATTTGGATTTGAACTTGAATGCATCTCTACTTACTTTTAACAACTCTCAAGTGCTTTCTTTAGATATTCCCAGTTTTATTTTCAAGAATCTATTCTGGGTTTTTGATTCACCATCTTTTAGTAAGCCTCAGCTCTTAGCTATAGCTTGTTCAATCATTTCTGCAGAATCTTAAACTATTTACTTTTTCACCTCTTTCTGTAGTATAAATATTTTTTTAGCTACTCCAGTGTCCAAACATGGGTTTGATTCCTTTTTGGTTCTACTAATATTTTCTAGATCAGCTCTCTTAACTTTCTTTACTTCCATCTTTATCTCTCCTATCTTCATAACTGGATTCGGGTATCTTTGTTTTCTGGGGTTTCTGTCTTGGTTGCTTACAAAAGTCCCATTTGGGAATAAGCTTGGACCCGGTTTTGTTGATGATGATGAGGTGCTTTTCAGTTTCTGTAACTTTTGGTTTGGTTTTATTGTGTTCATTGGTTTGTGTGGTGAGTGGTATTGGTGCTAATTGGGGCACACAACTAAGCCATCCTCTTCCCCCAGAGACTGTGGTGAATCTATTGAGGGATAATGGGATTCAAAAAGTGAAGCTTTTTGATGCTGATTATGGAACATTAAGGGCTCTGGGTGGCTCTAATATTGAGGTCATGGTTGGTATCCCAAATGATATGCTTTCATCTCTGGCTGGCAGCATGAAGGCTGCTGAGAAATGGGTTTCCACCAATGTCTCCAAACATATCTCTTCTAATAATGTTAATATCAGGTCTGCTTCCCTTGCTCTGCATTTATTATTTATTTCAATTCAACTAAAAGAATCAACTTTACTTTTCTGGTTAATTGGAAAAGTGAACTAGATATAATCTGTTGATTGTAGTTGTTTAGTTGAAGTACTAGATGTTATAAATCTTTCCATTTCGGGTTTGGTTAACTTCACTTAAGTCTCATTGAAATTGTCTTGTATATATTGCGGAAAACCTTTGTGTATATTTGGTGATTTGTCAGCTGGGTGTTCATATTTGTTTTATCCCGACTGTTGTGTGTGTTGCAACCTGAGTAAGAGAAATCATGTATTCAAGTTTAATTTTAATAAGTCTTGGTGCAATTAAATGCTTTATTGCCTTAAGCAACATTTTCCAATCAACAAAAATGGCTTTACCCAACATTTGCCTATTATATGTGGAGTTATTGACAAAGTTGTAAGGATGTATATATGGATTGCTCTAGATGTTTATATGGATCGCTTTGTGTATTGTGTTATATTATTTGGTATTTGGATGCCCCAGAGCTAAAATTTTTGCACTGAAACAAATACAGAAATATCAGCCACAATATCAAACAAATAGTCACACACTAACAGAATTAATATCAGAAAAATAATAAAGACACAATGATCTACGTGGTTTGCCCCAAGCCAAGCTACATCCACTTCTTCCTTATAGATCAATGTACAACATATGAGAACCTCTCTTGTTTACTTCTTTCCCTCACTTAAGAAAGATCTCCCAAATTCTCTCACCAAATAGAATAACCACTTTTCTTCCCCAGAGTACAGTGAACTAGCAGATTTATTATTACTGCATCCGTAAAATAATTTATTAGTAATAATGTTCGGATAGTACCATTACTGTAAATCTCACTTGTAACCAGAACAACTGAGACTCTTCAATGTATCATTAGAGACAAACTTGGCTTTTTGGTTCCGAGCCACATTAGCTTGCCCATATGCAAGCCATGGTGGTTCTGTAAAGACATAAACATATAATTTGAAAAACTAACCAGCTTTGATTTTGATTTATGTTTCATTGGTTATAATTTGCTTTAGTGCCTTGTCTATGCTAGCCTTCTGTAACTGGGAAATTGTTTCTTGGAATCATTTGATTTTAAATAATTTTTATTGCTTTCATTTTAGGTGTTTGAGCAGTCATAAAGATGTTTTCCTAGTCTGAAGTTAAAGTTGCATAGCGTACAAAATGTAATTATTTATTGACCTGACAAGAAGCTTGTGTATATAATTATTTATTGACCTGACAGGAAACTTGTGTATATAGCCAAGAGAATCGGCTAACATGACTAATACCAAACTAAAAAGAAAGAGAATTTTGGCTTGTGTTTATTGCTACTGTTGACTTCTTATACTATGTAACTTTTACATGCTATTCAGCTTTTTTTTGCTAGTATTCTATTTCTACCATTCCCATACCGGTTGAATATCAATTTCTCCTTAGAGGAAAGATCTGCTTGTTTTTCATAGACTCTTAAAAATCTTCCTAAAACCCCCATGGATTCTTTCCCAAATTAAATATTTGCTTGAAATTGGTTGTTCTTTTGCTCATAAAATACTAGCTAGTGAAGTTCTGTGAGTTTACATTGAGGTTTCAGGAGTTCCTGCAGTAGCAATGTGTACAAAACACCTTGCATGAATGATGGTTTTACTTGGACTTTGACAGCAATTTTCTGTTGCATGCTTCAATCCTGGCTGCCTTTTACTTATTCACTTTCTATAGGCCATGATGTAGGCATATATTAATGTTCAAATAATGTATATTTCTTATGCTTGGACATATGTAAGTTTGATAAAATCTCTGAGGTTATCACACCTTATGAATGTGCAGATATGTTGCCGTTGGGAATGAACCTTTCTTGCAAACATACAATGGAAGCTTCCTCAAAACGACCTTCCCTGCTCTTCAGAATGTTCAATCTGCCCTGATAAAGGCTGGGCTTAGCAATCAAGTAAAGGTCACTTGCCCCCTTAATGCTGATGTCTATGAGGCCCCATCTGGCTATCCATCTGAAGGTGACTTCCGAACTGATATCCATGATCTCATGCTTGCCATTGTCAAGTTTTTGAGCGATAATGGTGCGCCGTTTACTGTCAACATCTATCCATTCATAAGCCTTTACACTGATGCCAACTTCCCAGTTGAGTATGCCTTCTTTGATGGCAACGCACAACCTATAAATGATGGTGGGACAAACTATTACAATATGTTTGATGCAAATCATGACACTCTTGTGCATGCTCTACAGAAGAATGGGTATGGGAACCTGCCTATCATAATTGGAGAGATTGGGTGGCCAACTGATGGAGATCAAAATGCTAATATGGAGTATGCTCGACGGTTCAACCAAGGTTTTATGTCCCATATTACAGGTGGGAAAGGAACCCCAATGAGACCTGGGCCAATTGATGCCTATTTGTTTAGCTTGATTGATGAGGATGCCAAGAGTGTTGATCCAGGGAATTTCGAACGTCACTGGGGTATATTTACTTTTGATGGGAGAGCTAAATACCAGCTGAACCTTGGCACCACAAATTCAGGTGTTTTAATTCCAGCAAGAAGTGTGCACTACTTAGAGAAAAAATGGTGTGTGATGAAGCCTTCAGCCAGACTCGATGATCCACAAGTGGCACTAAGCGTGAGCTACGCCTGTGGACTTGCTGACTGCACTCAACTTGGTTATGGGACATCTTGTGGCAATCTGGATGCTCGGGGAAATATTTCATACGCTTTTAATAGTTACTATCAGATACATAATCAGCTTGAAGCTGCCTGTAAATTCCCGAACCTATCAATGGTCACTAAAACAGATCCGTCGGTTGGAAGTTGCACATTTCAGATAATGATTCAGCCATATTATGGAGGTGCAGGAAGGAGAGAGCCAATAGGTTTGGTTGTGGGCTTTATTCTCTTGGCACTAACAATTCTGTGAGTTTTGAAGCTTCTGATTCATCAAGTATCATTTTTCCGTGACTACTACTTGCATTTGCTTTGTAGCAGAAGCATTGTGATCTATAAGTGGCTCAAGCATTGTCTTTAATTTGCAGTTGACAAGGCAAATGCTGAAACTAATTATGCTGTTTGAAGATTAAATTGCTTTCAAGTAGTGTTTTTTTTTTTTTTTTTTTGGAAATGTGTAATTTGTGAAGTACTTTAATAGAGGCCTAACCAGTTAGGATTGAAATGGTTTCCTGGCAGCTGCAGCTGAAGTTAATTCGTATGCTTTTATCTTTGTTGTTGATTTGTATAAATGAGAGGCAGAAAAAAATTGGCTGTATGGTGCAATCTCAGATAGGTAAAATAAATGATTTGTGTATTTAAGAAATTAAAGAAGGATCATAAGAATGATATCAAACAGCTTTTAGTTTTGGGTTGTTTTAATTTGTGAATCAGAATTATTAGTAAACAAAATATTTAAAATATCAATGTATTTGAAATTGTTAAATTATATATATATATATCATCAAAAGTAGGCAGGGAATCAAGTTCTCCCATCAAAGAGAGTACAAAATAAACCTATTAACTTGTACCATCATCTATGCACCAAAAAAGAAATGAACAGCATTGAAAATGATGCATGAGCAACCTTTTTCTTTTTTAGGCATTATTAATTCGTAATATATATATATTTTGGTAACCCGAGGTGTTCGGGATAGTTTATGCGCATTTTAATTAATCTTTTGGGGTCCTGAAGTTAATAGTCGGATAATCCTCCAATGGCCACTAGTGTTTTAAAACCCTGCCCATCCCAACTGGTTAAATCGAGACCCGAGACTTTCACCGAGCTGGGTTAACAATTTTCCTATTTACCAAAAACCCTATAATTTAAGATGATGATCAACGAACAATTGAAGGTCTAGATGTTGGGGTTTTTGAAGAGAAAGTACCGGTGAGTACCATGGTGGCGACGGAGTTGATTTCCGGTAAGTGAATTGATCGGAAATCGAAAAAAAAAGCGGCGGCAATAGCCAGCTTTTGCCGACGATTGGCGAGGCTAATAGGGGTAAGGTGGGTGGGTGGGTTGTGGTCGAGAGGGAGAGAGGAGTATTTTCGGGGTGATGGGCAGGGTTGTCGACATTTGCTTCGATGAGATTTGGCCGAAATCGGTCAACATCAGTGTTGGTTAGATCTGGCCAAAATCAGTCGATTTCAGCTAGATCTTGGGTATATTTTCTAGGGTTTGGGCTCAAGAGATGATTGAGATTGCAATTTGGTGTGTCGCCACCATCAACCATTCGACGGTCGATTTGTGTTTGGGTTGTATTTGTTAAATTTCAAATCTATAGGGACTTAACGGTGATTTTTAGGAGTGCATTTGCTAAATTTTAAAATTTTTAACACCCCAAACCTGGCAATTTTGTCGGGTTTCTCTCCCGGGTTGGTTATTAAAACATTGGTGCCCACCCCTATTAATTCATAATATTTGCCAAGGGTAAATGGCATTAGTCTCTAATGTGGTATGATAAAATAACAAACATCCCCCTCATATTTGAAAATAACAAAATTTTCATACCATTAAGTTTTAGGTGTTAAAATAAACAGTGGGACAGTAGTTTGGTAGTATTCACTAACTCATAATAAAGTAAATTTTAACAGTTCATTAACCCTATTTGCCAATTTTTTTAGGACTATTCTTTTTATTTTTATTTTTATGCTTTACATAAGACAAAAATCTCTTTTATGTTTAACTAGTTATTTGTTAATCTCTTGTAAACCCCACTGAAAGTTATTGGATTATAAGGGCGTTCATGTATGAATACAAGTTATATATATATATAGAGTGGTATTATTTAAGTCTTATTCAATATTTTTTAACCCATAAATAATATAATTTTAATTAAAAAAATGGTCATTTAATCTTTTAGTATACCCAAAAATTAAAAATTTCTATCCTTCTTAAAATTCTACTTTCTCTATTATATTCTAAACTGTGTGTTATGCGTAAAAAATCAGGTTAATGTCAGCTCAACAAATGCCTAAAAGATAAAGTGTACTAACTGTCAAACCCATACTGCCTCAGAAATATTTTATACCAACCTTATCTCATTTTAAGATAAGGACGAATGAAAGCTCTCCAAGTGTCAAGGCAACTTACAAAAACACTCATTATATTGATCTCAAAGGTGTATAAATTGGCGCGCGGGGGAGGGGGATGAGAGTTAGGCAAACATTTGAGTTTCATTATGTATTGACAATTATTGTTTTTCAAATTTTATTTTGTTTTCTTGATTGAAAACTAGAGAAGAAAAAAGATGAAAAATAATTATCTTTAATACTTATCTATTGTACTTTGTTGATTCTCAATTTCTCGTGGAAGTTGTGTTGATTTGAAGAGGAAATACACAGATCTTGAAGGAATGCATTAAGGTTAATTTGCTCAAACCAAAAAATGGCAGGCACCCATGTTCAAAGAATGCCACACTGAACTGTGATCAACTTACCAAGAGAATAAAAATGACTGAAATTTAACCTAATAGAAAACAAAGGTGATTGAAATTTAACCTGATAGATAAAAAAGATGATGGGTTAACAAAGAGATTTTAAAAAGAAATATTAGTTGGGGTAATTTTGGGAAGAAATATAATATATTTACAAATAAAAATTTAAATATGTTTTTATTTATTATTCAGGTTTACAAGGAAATTTAGTAGGCTTAAATAACACCATTACATCTAAATATAAAGTGTGTTTGTACTGGTCCTCCATTAATAGACCTAAAAAAAAACCTCACTTTTTTATAATGACAAACTTGGCCCTATATCAAATTATTTGAATTACCTTTAATAGCTTATTCTTTACAAAAACTTTTAACTCATAAACCTTAATTCATACGGGCTATTCAAATCATATTTAAAACTAAAGACAATTTAATGGAAGATGAAGATTTGCATTGAGATATACATGTTACCAGTAATACAAATTTGAAAGTTCTCAATTGCTTTTCAATTTATTTATTTTTTTAATTCAAGCTATATTTTTTATGAAAGACTAGTCTGAAAAAGTAGAAATTTCATGTTAAAAAATACTGGACAAAGTTTTAAGTTATTTTATTTTGTAAAAGAATTGTTTATTATACTTCTTATGCATTATGGACTTGAGTTAATTATTTGTAAGATTTTTTCTTTTTCTTTTTAACTTTCAATTTAAACATCTAAGGGTGCGTTTGGTTTATTATTTTGGATAAAATTTTGGGATTAATATTGGGTAGTTGAATAAGGGAGTATTACGAGGTAAAATTTAAAAATTTCTAAAAAACCCCATAGGTTTACTAATTTAACTAAACACCCCAATATATAAAATTTTTGTAAAATAACAAAAACACCCCCATCACCCACAGTGCCAGATTCCGGCTACCACCGCTGGAATCTGGCTGAAAAATTGCGTTATAACACAGATCGGTCGGATATGGCCTTTTCCGTCCAGATCCACCACGGATCTGGCCGAAAAAGGCTAGACGTGGCCGTCGACGGCCACAAAAGTCCATACATGGTCATCAGCGACGACCAAAGATATGGTCGTCGTTGTCGGTCAACGATGACCAAGATTTGGCCATTGTTGACCGTGACAGCCAGATTTGGCCAGATCGGTGAATTACCAGCCTTTTTTGGTCGTGGTGTAGGCCGTTGTAATAGATTTCGGCTACCACCGATGGTGGTTGCTGGAATCTGGCAAGTATGGGTTTAGGGGGTGTTTTTGTTACTTTTTAAACTTTTTTTGAGGGTATTTAATGAAATTAATAAACTTAAGGGGTTTAAAAGTAATTAAAAAAATACAATAATATTTCTCAAATAATGTGCCAAACAATATTTAGGGAATATGATTGGGAATATGGATAATAATATGGAACCAAAAGCACCCTAAAATTTTATTTTAGGAATGATGATTGATGATTACCGGGTCGCATAAAAGGAAAAAAAAAAAAAAAAAAAAAAGATGAAGGGCATATATTATTATATTGGAACGTATGGGGTGCCGTGCTGTACCATTAAAATTTATTTTTAAACTTTTAAATATAATCTTTTTAAGAAATGAGGCTTTTTAGTCCAATAAATGGTATGCCATAGAACCACTTAAATTATTGTATAAGTGAATGAATAAAATGTTAATTCTTTAAAAAAAAAAAAAAAAAAAAAAATTGGAATGAATGACATATATTGAAACTTATGGGATGCCATAAGAAAAAAAAAAAAAAAAAAAAAAAAAAAAAAAAAAAAAAAAAAAAAAAAACACTTTAAAATGGGCTGTCTCCAGAACCACGACATCTTTAGAACCAGGACATCTTTAGTCCATTACTGGGGTGTCAGTAGGTCCACTCACAAGAAAGACCAAGTCTACATTTGAGTGGCTCTATTGACATACCATTAATAAAGTAAAGAAGCCTAATTTCTTAAAACATCCCATTTAAAAGTTTTAAAATTAAAATGTGATATTATACATTTAATCTTTATGTATGTTTATGACCTTTAGCACTTAATCTTATCTTTATTATGATGCATGTCTTAATATGTGTTGATGCGAGATTTTTACACCAACGAAATACACGTGTGAAATGTTGAGCTGGCCCAAAGGACACACGTGAATATAAAGGAAAATGATAGTAAATGCAATGGGGACAGTTTTTAAAGTGGTTCGGATGCTAAGGTAGCAAGTCCTACGTCCACTGATGCTTATATTAATGATAAAGGTCAGGTCGCTTTTAGCTGATTGACTTTGCAATGATATTACAAGGTATCCAATGCTAAAAATTCTAGAGAGAGAGATAGAGAGAGAGTAGCTAATCCAGTGTAAAAATGTGCGAATCCCTTTAATGAGAGAGGAGCTCCCAATTTATAGTGGGATGCATTGAGGCAGTGATCACTAAATCTGTAAGTTGGTGGGATTATCCGTGCAAATCCTTCTTTATGTCACATTGCCCACCTTCCAGAGGGATTTGCGCGATTTAGAGCAGGGATTGGACACGTGGGCTCATCACAGCTTCTGGCTGGCCTGCCGTGTACCCACTATTCTGACGGAAGCAGGCTGTGAGTGTACCCATGATCTGACTCCTATAGGCTGACTGGGTCTTACGTCAGCCCTTATATTTTTTAGGCATAACAGAAGTCCCCTAGTTTTTAAGGTTCGAGGATTGAACCTTGGAAACTACAAGTCATGCTGTAATTGGATGATTCCTGGAAATTTTGGAAATTCTGGCCTGTTT